TCTCTTTTTCTTGTCCACAAGTCTTCTCACAGAAGAGCTCTTCCAGGTCCTCCAACTAAAATTTAAATTCTGCTTGTAGAGAAAAAATAGACACAGAAAAGAATTTCACAACAATGAAGAACTTACAAGTGCAGAACACTGCAGTAGGAATTCAGAGACAGGGCAAGTAGTGTGGGCAGCAGAGGGCTTCACGTGGAGTGGAGCCACTGAGTGTCTAGAGGGACTCAGCGCAGATCTTGGACCAGTTTCTTGACCCCTCTGTGCCTCAGTTTCCTCAAGTGTAAAGGGAGAATAATAATAGTACCCACCTCATTGACAGAATCTGAAGCCAGTATTTAAGAAAAGGTACCTGCCATTTTTATTATGTTAGGGCTTTGAGGATGTGTAAGATTTAAAGAAAGGAAAGGAGAAAGTCTTTTAAGCGCAGGACAGCAGGAGCAGAAGGAAGAAGATGGAAATGAGCAGAATGGAGGCAGACAGACATAGGGGAGCTGGTCTAAAAGAAAAGGAGGACATGGTGGGAAGCCACGATTCAACAAATATTCCTCAGGCTTCCATGAGGTGCTGGAGCACCATGGCAAACCACAAAGACATGGGACGCAGGGTAAGTACCACAAAGACATGAGACCCAGGGTCAGTACCACAAAAACATGGTACCCGGGCTAAGTACTACAAAGACATGAGACCAGGGTCAGTACCACAAAGACATGAGTACCACAAAGACATGGGACTCAGGGTCAGTACCACAAAGACATGGGACCAGAGTTGGTACTGAAGATTGGCTAGCTGAGGTAGTGACCAGAATATGACCCTAAAACCAAGCTGACTTCAAGGCTTAGGGAGACCACACTGGATGGGTAATGTGGAAAGGTCACGTGTAATTTTATCAATATTATTTATAGGGAAAAATAACTTGAGGGGTAATAATAAATATGCTTATTTTAAATTATACCTAAAATTTATGAGTCATAGCAGTTACTCATACACAGTGTAAGGAATGCATATAAATCTTACAGTAGTTTAAGTAAAATAATGTGGGTGCTTTATCAGCAAAACTTGAAAAAATTTAAAAAGAGCTATGTTCTTACTACCCCCACCACACCCGTAGGCACACACTTACACACATGCACACACATACACTTACACACACACACACCAGTGAAAGAGTTTGCCCTTTATCCTGTAGGCAGTTGTGAGAAGGTGCCTAAGGAGGGGTGCAACACAATGGAAGTGGTGTTTAAGAGGATTATTGTGGCTGCAGTGCGCGAAATGGCTTAGAAGACACAGTGAGACAAGGAGATCAGCAAAGAGGCCATTACAATAAATCAAGTCAACCAAATTCCATGCCTGTCTTTTTCTCATTTCCCCCAATATTGATAATGCAGTGCAGAGTTCAGCAAAGTCTAATCCCATCTAATGCACTTCTCAATCCTTCACGCTCTCCTGTGCGCCCCCCGACCTCATCTTCATTCCCACCATCCATCCTCCCAGACCAGTCCTCCACTTCTGCAGGCCAGTCAACATCCCGGATAACATTGAACTTGGAAGCCCACTTCTCTATCGCCCACCTTCTGGCAGAGTCGGCCCCTTCTAATCCCAATAAAAATCCTCATACTGTATTTAAGAACTCTAGAAAAGAGCCCATACGGATGCCAGGGAAGGGACATATATAGAAGCAGCCGACTTTAGTAGAATGACAACTACTCCGCATGATGCTGAGAGCTTTACAGAAATCCGCTCATTTAATCCTTATGACAACCCTTAAGTACGTGTCACAGTGCCATATTCCGCCCCCCCCCCCCTTACCTTTTATGGTCAAGAAAATTGAGGAGCTCAGCAGTGCACTGAGGTTATAAAATTATAAGCAGTGAACTGTGCCCTGAGCCCTGGCATCGGGACATTGTGTCTGCGCTCTGGCCACTGCACTTACCGCTTCCAGTCTCCCTTGAGTCCCTGCCTTCTCTGCACCCTTGGTCCAGAGGGTCCTCACATATTGAGGGCAGCTCACTTAGCATTTTGGAGTCTTGCTTTCTCGACTACTTATTTGTAAAATGGGGGGTGGGGGGCAGAGGTACACACCTTTGAGCAGTGAATTATATTTGCAATAAATGAATTCCAATAAAGCAGATACTGGATTAGATGGTCCCTGAACTGTTTTCAGCTTGGACATTCTAGGAGCCTTTGTCCTCACCACCCATCCAATATTTCTCACTGTCTTGCTGTGCCTTTGATCTAGTCTAAATCCCCATTGCACATGGACTCGTCCATTCTTACATGGAAATTCATCTCGGCTGCAGAGAGATGAAGTCCGCATGTGCATGCCTATGTGTGGGCGGACTTGTGGCTTGAGGGGAAGTGAGGGATCTAAATGAGCAGATGGAGCTGATGAAGACTAAAAGGACAAATGTGAAGTTAGAGGCAGACATGTGACCAGAGGAGTGATGCTCAGGCTGAGCTGAATCGGCACATATGGTGGACGGCCACACTCACGTGGAGCAGCTCCTCTCAATCTGAGGCTGTGGGGTAGGGGGAGCTGGCAGAGCAGGTCAGCCATCACTGCTCCCACTGCTTCGCGGGCACCCAAGGGCCTCTCCCCACCCCCTGCCAGGGCTGGGACCCAAAGCAGCCAGAGAAATCCAATCTTGGCTTCAGGGCAAAATCAGACCAAGGGGCAGAATGCCTCCAGGGAGAACTCATTCTTCATTTTGCCTTTGAAATTGAGATCAAATTAGAGGTGTTGTTAAAAAAAAAAAAAAAAAAGTCATCCAGCAGGCTTCAGATCCCAGAAGCCGAGGGCTTCAGGGGCTCCGCAGCAGCACTGGGAGCTGTCCAAGGTTCCGGTCAGCTGGAGGTCCTGCTGTTACCCATGCCTCCTTTCCAGGGCACTCAGGGAGGGTGGGGCCTGCAGCCCCTGGGGCTTGAGGACAAAAGAACTAATGACACCCTGATGAATGTGTAGGTGGAGAGGCAGTCTTTGGAACCAACAGGCTTTCCTGATTCTGAACTGAGAACAAGCAGCAAGTGACAGCAAGCATCTGTTGGGGAGGGGACTTTGGGGCACTGCTCCCAGCACCTATGGCCCTTCCTGTGTCAGGGCTCCCAGCCCAACGCACACTGGGTTCTGCTGATGTAAGTGCAGCCTGGCCGCAGGCTCTAACAGGCCCCAGTCACACAGGTCTGGGTGAGAAGCACTGTCACCCAGCTGGTGAGCCCTGGGTGTGCTCAGAACCCCACCTCGCCCAGGCCTCCTACCTCTAGGAAGTAGTATGAGGAGGCAGGCCAACAGGTGGGTCTTGGGAAATCCTCAAATCCTCGTGTCTGCCGCCAGGCAGGCGCAGGAGACAGGGAGAGGCAAACAACAGCCGAATAATTGCTTGCCTTTGCTGTGATGCAGTGAGAACCTAGGAGGATGAGCAGATTGGCGAGGGTGGGAGAGGGCAGGGACTGAGTTCATGCTCATTTTGGGTCACCATTAAGTGAATGCCTTCTATTTTCCAATCACCTAAGCCAGGCAGTTCACATATGTTATATCCAAACCCAAGAACCCTGGAAGTAGGGGTTGTTGCTCCCGTTTTACAGAGAGGAAACTGAGGCTCAGAGAAACTAGATGACCTTTCCCCAAGCCACATTTAGTAAGTGGGGGAGCAGGGTAGGATCATAATTCTTTGGAACTTTGGTCTGGGACTCTTGGCATTCACTATAACATGCAGGTCCTGCCTCCTAAAATGGTGAAGTGATTATACTGAGAAGTGGAAGAGGAGCGTCACTTACTGGACTTTTTGCTTCGGGACTTGGGTTCCAGCGGTGGCCCTACCAGTTTCAGAGTGGACGTGGAGCAGCTGTGAGGGAGAAGTGCCTTTTGGGGATGGGCTGAGAGTGCAAGGTGGGTTAGGGAAGTAAATAGGTCTGTACATGAGAGTTCAGTGCAGAAATGGATCCCCCTGCTTTGGCCCTTTAAACAGAACACAATCTAACCCATGGAACGGGGTGCTCACAGATCATTCGATGGGCCGGAGGAGGGAACCAGGTGGCGCTTCCAGGAACGATTCCCCGGACTGTACAGACCTCCCTGCCAGGGCAGTTGCCCCCCACACTGGACCCACTGAAATCAATAGCACGTGCCACAGTGGTGGGCCAGATCTCAGGAAGCTGCCTGCACCACTGATGCCCCCACAGCTGTCTCCTGGCACTCCAAAGCTGGGAAACAGATGCTGAAATGCTGCTGCTGGAAAACCTGACGTTTCCAGCATGTCACCAGCAGAGAACAGCAAAAGGGGCAGAAAGGGCATTAGGCTGGAGAATCTAGTGCCCATCTAGACCCATCGCTTACAGGCACTCTGGGAAACATGGCTTTTCATTTGCTGGCATCCACCTCTGCAGAGCAGAAAGGGACATTAAAAAGAGGGCATGATGGATGCTGAGCAGCCCTGGGCAGCTCCTACCACAGTAGCCAGGCTGATGCCCACTCTCTTGTTGCCAACAAAAACCAACAGGCCAGCACGCTGAAAATCAATATTCGCTTCTGGAGTGGATATTTAAAAAGTCTTTATTAGCACAGGAACAGCCCATAACCCACAGCTGTGTGTTTGCAAAAATGTGCACAGATACCACGTCTCTTAAGAACCGCTGATGTGCTTCATTGTAGAGCTGAGAATTTCTATTCCGTGAAGCTCTCTCAGTTGGGCAGCAAACCTGTCATAATCAGAACACAAACTCCAGGACATCAATGCCATGGGGCCGACTTCTGGCGCCCAGAGCCAGCCCCCCTCAGGCAGGAGCTGGCTGGGAGAGGGGCGGCGGCTGTGGCACTGGGAACCCTAAAAATCACCGGGGGCGAAGCCCTCAGGGAGGCCCACAAAACACTGCGAACCCTCTCACTGTGAGAGACAGATGTGACAGGCTGATCCGATGGGACCTGGCTCTCCGGAACTCCCCAGCAGGTTGCCACTTTGAGCATATCCTAGCTAACGTGCCTTGCTTTCTGTGGAAGAAAGATTTTATTTATTCCTTCCATTTGAACCATCAGACAGAACTTGAAAGGGCCGGAGCTGTCAGCCAGGCCAAGCCTCTCCTTCTACAGAGGAGGAACCAGAGGCGTGCAGAGGTAAGAGAGGGAACCAGGCAGGCCAGAGCTCCTCCCTGTCCATGGCAGGCACCCCTCTTATATACCAGAGCTCCAGCCTCTGCCACGGGTGGGCAGCTTCCAGGAACACGGATGACTAGGTGTTTAAATGCACCAGAATGGGGCCAGAACAGAAGTTTGAGCTAAAACAGAAGCAACGTACACAGTTAAAGCGAAGCTCTCTTGCCCTGGCTTGTCAGGGGGTCTTAGACACGCCATTCTGCATCTTGCTTCAGCTTTCGTCCAGGACAAGAATATTAGCCTCACTGATGACTCTCCCATATGCTTAAGCCCAGGCAAAAAAATGAAGTGGGAGGTCTAACCGTTTCTGGAAAAGTAGAGGAGAGAGAAAGGAGGGAGAGAGAAGGGGAGATGGCGTGGGGGAGAAGAAGGATGAGCAGAAAGAGGAGGAGAGAAGGACAGAAGAGAATGAGGGAGTGGAATGGACAGAAGACAATGGCAGCAGAGTGCATGGAACAAATCCGTGCCAGATGAATGCCTTTGTTCTCCCTGGTTGGGGCCTGAGAGCTCCCAGTTTCCTCAGGGAAGGCTTCCTCCAGAGCAGCAGCTCCCGGGCCCAACACCTGCCCGCACCCAAGGCACCAGGGCTCCTAGTTTCCCCATGGAGCTCCGTGCGGCGGAGTCCCAGCCCCAGCCCAGTGCCTTGGCTTGGCTCACCCCACTCCTCTCTGGATGTGAGCGGCACAAGCCACCCCAGGTACCTTGGCTCAGCTGTGCACAGCTTCCCCAGAGCGATCCCTGCATTCAGCTGCACGGCCGTCTTCTGCGCATCTCCGCCTGCATGCTTCAGCAAGACCTGCACAATGTCTGTCTTCAGCAAGGAGGACGCAACGTGCGGCACCTCCATGCAGTTCCCCAAGCAGAGGGCCGCGTTGCCCACCAGAATCTCATCCTCTGAGCTGAGCAGCTTCATCAGAACACCGAACTCTACAGGGATGGAAGAGAACCAGCATCTTCCCTCAGGATCCCAAACAGAAGGCTGGCAATGGGACAGGAGGGCACAGGAGGTGTCAGTGGACTCTGAGCTTCTCCAGAAGCTCTGAGGAAGATGTATCACTCACTCATTCAGAAAACCTTTATTTAGCACTATGAAGCTGCTTGGCCCCTTGCTGCATCTCTGACGTATCTCAGGGGCCCAGAGCAGTGCCTGGCATGGCACAATTATTGCGAGAATGACAGCTATGCATCTGATAGGTCTGTCCTTTCTAAAGTCCCCATTCTTTTTTTTTTTTAGGAAGATTGGCCCTGAGCTAACATCTGCTGCCAATCCTCCTCTGTTTTTTTGCTGAGGAAGACTGGCCCTGAGCTAACATTCATGCTCATCTTCCTCTACTTTATATGTGGGACGCCTACCACAGCATGGCTTGCCAAGTGGTGCCATGTTCACACCCGGGATCCGAACCTGCGAACCCCGAGCCGCCAAAGCAGAACGTGTGCACTTAACCACTGCGCCAGCCCCTAAAGTCCCCATTATTAACCTCTATACTCCACCAGACAGCCCCAGAGGCGGCGGCCAGGGGCCTGCTCTCTATAGCTGCAGGGCAATGAACAGGGTCCGGAAGAAAGGCTCCTCCTTCTATGGGGGGACCCCTCAGTTCACTTCCTGTGTCGTCCCGAGGAGGTGTTGGGAGAACGTTAGCAGGCTGCCTCGGGGAACCCCTGCTGCGAATGACTGCGGCCAACTCAGTCACTAGAGCAAAGATAGGCTCAGACTCGGATATTTCCCTGTTCAGTGAAGGTTGAAGGCTCCCACGCTGCCCCAAGAAGGAAGAGAACCCGTGTTGAGTCAGTCTAAGCAGAAGGCTTTAGAAACCATTTCAGTGTTCTTGGTGAGAGGAGGGAGCTCCCGCCTTCGGCCCTGTTCTCTCTGAGCTGTTTCGCAGCTGAGTCTCCAGTGCGAGCATGCTACCTGTGAGCAGCTGAAGGTTAATTACACGCTTTCAGAGCCGGAGGGGAAATGACATCTTGCTCCATGAACACTGCTGAAGTCTGGGGCGAGGGCAGCAGCCTTGACTCACTCCTCATCTGCAGTTCCCTTTGCAGCTTCAAGGATGGATTAACCTCTGGGGTGTGGGCTCCATGAAATGAAACGAACACTTACTTTTATCCAGCCTGATCACTTCTTCTCGTGCTTCATGGTTACTGTTAGTGCAGACAGCTAGTGTCTTGACGGCATAACGTGATGCAGTCTGGCCTCCCGTCTAGATTTCAGGAAAAAATGAGAAAATAAAATCAATCCTATGATTGTTCTCGGCCAGAAATCACAGTGAGCAGCTGCGATTGTGCTAGTGGCTTCCTAAACTTCTAAAAGAGAGTTCCAATGAGGATGGCGAATGCTTCCTGGTGAGCAGGCCTGGTCCTTGCCGGGCCAGAGGGTCACTCACCTCCTCTCTGACACAGCCTGCACCTCCCATGTGAACGGAGGCCTGTCATGTACACCTGAGTCATTACCTGTGGAAGGCTTCATGAGTAAACGGCTGAGAAGAGAAGGATGCTGTCGACTGGCAGTCTACCGAAAAGGGAGGGAAGGCCCTCCCATGTCATTTCACCATTTGAGAATGAGGGCTGACTTGCTGAGGCTGTCAGGCTAACAGGGCTGCACAGAAACCATCATGACCTACATCATTTTAAGAGGTGAAAACTGTCAAATCATAACCCTTAAGATCACCCATTGCGGGGTCTTTAAAACACACATGTGCAGGTATGCATGCAGAACGCACATGTGTTCGAATGTGTAATGCACATGTGTGTGCATGCAATCAGCAGCCTCTGGCCGGTTTGCGAGAATTGTGCAGAGTGAATGATGGTCATCATCCAAGTGCGGCCTAAACACAGACCCAGTGTCCTGCCCCTCAATATTGCCCCTGCCCCAGCAGCAGCCCCCCGATACAGCACGCTTCCTGGCCCCACTCAGCCTGGGGTTTTATGACTATGTCTCCCTTGGGGTCGCCACACTAATGTAGGTGAGTGAACCTCACTGGGAACATACATCGCAGGCAGAAGCCAGAGATGGCAGCCTAATAAGTCACCTCCTCCTTTCAGGAGAATCTAGTTAACTATTGTACTGACTTGCTCAGATTCACTGCGCTTGGATCACAGGGAAAACCCAAACATCCTTTTGTCACATGGTGACTCTCTGCACCCCACATATCTCACAAATGGAGTTACAGCCAATATTCTCCAGATAACTGGACAGAGCATCGTGAGCAGGAAAACCTGAGCAAAATGAGGGGCCTGAGAAACCCTGTTGAAAGCCACTCAGACCACCTTTTTCAGGGACAAAGCCCACGCATTTTTAAGTTCAGCTTGAGCAGTAAGCCATTTTTGTGGATGTACCTAATGAACAACTCACTTATTCATTCAACAACCTTTCATCAATGTTCAGAGCACAGCCTGGGTGGACAGGCAGGAGAGAAGTCCCATTTAAGAAGTTTAAAACCCAGCAGAGATGAAGCAGCAGCACCTTAACTGAACAAAACCCTCCTGAATTCTGCTCCCCAAATAAAACACGACACTCCTGGAAACTCAAGAGGTTGTAACCAAGGAAGCGATTTTACCTTCAGGAATTTCATCATTTTCTTCACCACTCCTGCTCTTAGGGCCTCCTCAATGATTTTCAGAGAGGAAGAAAGGGTGCGGCTGAGAACGCCAGCAGCTCTCTGGGGGAAGCAGACAGTAAAGGTGGATTAAACCCTCTTCTCAGAAATGCTGACAACCTTTCAAAGTTAACACGCAGTTTGGAGAGGCAAAACCAATCATGAGTATTGGGAACAAAACATACACTGTGATTTTAAAGATACGTAATGGCCGAGGAATAGAGAGCAGGCTGTTCGTTTCCATAAAGCTGCTGTGTGGGCAATTCAAAGGGCTGAAGCCTTGTCCCTCGGCACACAGAGGCCCAGCTGGTCCCAGCCTCACACAGGACCAACCAGTTCCACTCTGGGAAGAAAGTCCTGCCCAGGAGCTCGGCCGTGCACGCACATCAGCGGGGGCCTTATTCCATGGTAGACCTGCACTGACTTTCTGCGTCGTTTAGCTTTTCTTTTGTCTTTTTGTTCTACTTTCTGGGAGACTTCATTTACTTTATTTTCCAGTGCTGCTTTGTTTTAAAACAGCAAGCTGTTACTGTTTTACGGCTATAATACTATCTTGAATTTTTCTGAGGATATAAATGATAGCTATTAATGTTTTTCTTCTGTTTCCCAAATCGTCTCTATTTCTTTCAGGTCAACTTTTCTGCTTATCTTGGTTTTTACCTATTTGTACACCTTTCCTGAAATGTCTGGTGACCCTTAGCTGCGTGGTCACATTTATGAGAAAAGCAATAAAAATGTGTTTCGGCATATGCTGTGTTTATGGGCAGTTTGTTGACTGACAGGTGGAGAGGTGGCACTTCCAAATACGAGAAAGCAAAAATCTTTTCTCTGGTCTTTCAATTCTTTTAGAGAAAAAGTGCTCAGATTTTAGGCCTAAGGGATAGATGCCTGGCTGCCAAATGCAATTCCCCATCTCTCGCTTGTGCCCTCTGTTGTACCTGGTGATTGATGTCTCAGTCTTCTCCAGATTACTGCAAGACGAACCGGCTACCTTCCCAGCTGTGTCCCTCTGTCTATACTCTACACTAAGGTTTCTTCGGCCCCACCTCGTTAACCGTCACTCCTGCCGCTGTTCTCCATCTTCCAGAAACTGGTTAAAACGACTTACCATTGGTGACCTCTTGCCTGTTCCCTTTTTCAGTGTGGGTTTCTACTGTTTTTCCCCCTAACGCCTTTTTCATTTTTTTTATGGATACTTTTTTTGATGAGGAAGAGTGATCCTGAGCTAACATCTGTTGCCAATCTTCCTCTTTTTTTTTCTCCCCAAAGCCCAAGTGCATAGTTATAGGTCATTGTAGTTCTTCTATATGGCACGCCGCCACAGCATGGCTTGATGAGTGGTGTGTAGGTCTGTATCCAGGATCCGAACTGGCGAACCCCAGGCTGCTGAAGCGGAGCACATGAACTGAACCACTAGGCCATGGGGCCGGCCCCTAGTTTCATTTTAATGAGGCCTCCAGAGAGAGAAGGGAAAAACGTGTGTATAATCATGTTATCAGTCTTGTTTCCCTAATCTGCTTCCTACAGCTAGAATGTTGCTACAGCTGACACTACAGATCTCTTTTCAGACCCAAGACAGTGGAGAGAGAGCCTTACTGAAGGACTGAATTCCCCTGCTGAAGCTGCTGCCCTGCTCAGCAGCAACCGTGGCACACGCATGGTCCTGGGAAAGTCTGGCAAGAGAGTCCTTGAAGGGTTAGCGCAAAACTAGTGCAGGCCTCGCCTGAGGCTTAAACCACCCAGAAAAGCCCCCAAGTGCACAGGAACAGTGGTTTTCTACACAGTTGCAGGGGGTTCCAGGGAACCTACAACTGACCACACATTCCTGGAGCCCAGGTTAAAAACCTTGCGCTTTAATGTCTGAATTGACTTCAGGGAAGTTGTGGGCATGCTAGCCCCAAACAGGGTGCGGCAGATCTGCTCGGGACTTTTATTGCAACGCTGGAACCAGTCCCTGTCTACGATCCTCGAAGGGCTGGTTTCCCCACCTGCCCTGGATGGGACCCCAACTGTTCCTCCAGGCTTTAGGGCCCTGATCCGATAGGTGGAAAAGTTGGGGTGATTCCTAATGTGAGAGAAAAACACATCTTAGGATGATGGCAAATAGCCTCGTCTCCTGATGCACTGTGCTAAACACAGGCCTTTCCTAGTTTTCTTATCCAAATGCCAGAAACAGAAGTCAGAAAGCCATTCCAGCATCTCTCTCCAAGGGGGCTAGAACCACGATGCATAAACCGCCTCCAGGATCACTGGCTTCAAAAGAGGGGCCTGGCTTTGTTGATTATGGAAAAGGGATTCTAAAGAAAACCACCTGGCCTGAAATAGGATGAATCAGACAGCTTACACTGGATAAGCTGTTAAGTTCCGGACCATACAGAATAGGGATTCTTAACTCGGGTTCCTGGACTCTAGGGGGTCTACAGATGAGCACTGGGTGGGGTCCCCAAATCCCCTGAAACTGTAGGCACATTTGGTATTTATGTGCTTATGGGCGCCTTTTGAGGAGTATGTCTGCCCCCTACCTCAGAAAGGCAGCAGATTCTCAGAGCTGTGGTGACTTCGAAAGGGTAAGAAGTATTCATAGTAAAACAAAACAAAAGGACAACAACGAAGGGAGCTGTTTCTGGATTTCCCTGGGAGAAGCTTACTGTCAGGATTCCTCCATCCTGGCTGTTCAGCAGAGACATGCACCTCCTGCTCACCTCCATGGCCCAAACCTACAGCGGTGGGGAAAGGGAAGAGATGTGAAGGTTCTGGTAATCTGAAGCTCTATGGAGCTCCTTCTGAGCACTCAAATAGAAATGACCACAGCACCTCGCAACTTCACTCACAACACCTTCTCCCATTGCTCTCATTTCTTCCCGTGTCCGTCTCCCCTGACTACGTGGCAATACTTTCAAAGCAGGGGCCACTTTTATCTGACTTTGTAAATGCAGAACCTAGCACCATGCTCAGCTCCTCCTGGACACTCAGTCAGTTTTCCGGATGAAGGCCCGACTGAGTGACTCGTCCCTCTCTCAGCGGAGCAAAGCGACAGAGCATCCATCCAGCTCTGCCCATTCCCCCTGCCAGGGTTCGAGTCCCTGTGCTTCTCTTCTCTTTGTGAAAATGAGAACAGTTCTATGCAACAGAATGTGTTTAGGCTGTCCCAGGGTTCCAGGTAGGGAGAAAAGGATGCCATACCTCAGAGACAAAGGGGGATTGAAGACACAAGTTCATCATGAGTCCTAGGAGTGTATACATGACCTCTCTGAACAGGTCCACATCCTCCTCACACCTGGCCTGTGGAGAAAAACATGCTAATCAATGGCCTTTCTTCCTTGCAGCCTTTCACAGTCATCTGTTCCACTTGGCAATGGTCTCAGCATTACTCACACTCCCTAAATTGCCAATGTCATTAACCTAAGTGATGTTGGAAGATCAGAGACCAGTTCTACGAGTTAGCATTAACACAGGAGACTTGCAAGGAATCTCTGGTGACTCTGCCACAGGACTGGCTCAGCCTGGTCCTGTGTTTAAACTGAAGAGTGAGCTGCTAAAATGGGTGGTCAAGCCAACTCCACCAGAAAACCCTTCAAATCACTCCAGAGTGGAGGAGACTTGATCTGGAAGGCTCCTTAAGGCCAGAAGCCCATAAAATCTATGGTTACAGAAGGGGTAGGCCACTGGCTCCAGCATCCTCAAACAGAATTTTTGGAAAAGCCAGATAATTAAGAAGAAGCCAATGCCCCCAAAGCAGATAAAAGACCAACTTTGAATAGAAAAGCTAAAATACCATGAGGCCCAAGCAGGCATCCCCAAATTCTTCAGAGGCAGACATCTGTCTCCGTATGGCAGCCTCAGCACTGAGGTTTCCCATGAGGGCAATACACTGGCAGAGAGCTGAGGTGTTGGTTACCTTGGGATCTCGCTTCTAAAATCAAGAGAGAAAGCGAATCAAGAGAAAGTGAATCTGCAGAGTGCAGGCAAATGATGCCAGAGTAATCCTTAGGGGCATCCCTCACTCACCAAAATGCCTGGGAACCAGAGAGCATAATGTCACTTGGGGGCATCAGTGGGGTCACAGAGGCAACAGGCTGGAGGCACATAGAGGGGTAGACCCCAAAGCCCCTTGGCCTGGAATAGGGAGGCCTAGGGCTTAACCCCAGTGACTCCACCAACAGCTGGGAGAACTCGGGCAAGTCCTGCCTCTTCTCAGAGCTTCCATTTTCACATCTGTGAAATTTGGGGGTGTGGATATGCTCTCTCAGGTCCCCTGAAACTTCTATGGCTCACTGAAGGGTCTAGCCACGGTATGCTCTCCCAGGAGAACTCCCCCCACCGCCTTGCTATTTTCTGCCTCATCAGCTCAAATCACCACACCTGCCCTCCTGATGGGGATAACTGCCATTCAGGGGACAGGGCTGCATGTGGTACTTAGGATGGGACTTAGGGTCAGAAGGGGACTGATGGAGACTGACAGACTCTCTCCGCCTCCACCTAAGATGCAGTCCACATCCAGCCTTTTCTCTCCTGCAACAAGCCCCGTCCACATGCCATCTCCACCTGTCCCGACTGTGGTTGTTTTAATAAGAATTGTGTAAATTCCAGCTGTGAATAAATGATTAATCAATCTGAGAGACAATAGGAGGTCTGGAGTGTTAATCGTGTTTAAACGGCTCTGTCATCCTCCCGAGAGCGTCTGTGACAGGTGATAGAAATGAGGGCTTGCTCACCAGAACGCCTGTGAGTGCCAGGAGAACACCTGGAAGGTTGGCCTCGAACCAGACTTGGAATCTGTTGAGGAAGCATCAGCCATGACTTATTTCCACATGGCACAAACGATAACATAAACACAGTGTCCTGGGTAATGGAACTGACAGTCGCAAACTCTGGGCCCATGGGGTTTGCAGCATGCATGGATGACTCGTTGCGAACCAAAAGAAAGTGTCCCTGGGTATGTAATGTGGCTTTAATTTTCCTAACTCTGGAAAATTGCCTTTCGTGTTAAACCACAGATCTCAGATGGCAGCTTTCTTATGCAAAAATTGCTAGAATCCTTACGCTTCTGCCAAACTGCCTTATCCCACCCATGCTCTGAGTCTGTATGCTGTGTGCTATGCAAACAGGAAATACACTGCATTTATTGTCACAGCCGTGAGGAGGGCCCAGATGCACACACATCCCCACATGCCAGAGCAGCTATAACACATTCCCATCTCATGTTGATGGCCTCTCTATGAGCATAAGCAGCTCTCTCATTATCTGACCATTTCTAAGCAAGATGCCCTAGAGTTTGTGAGGAAATTAAAAAAAAAAACCAAGATGCACTTAAAAAAAAAAAACTTCAAGAATTATGAAAATCTAACACCTTTACTGTCCTTGCCAGTAGCTAAGAAGAAAATGTGGGGAGGGGTAGTTACCCATAATGCCACTGGCAGCCCAAGAGGAGGCTACATTTTACAGCACATTCTCTCTCAGTCACATTCACTCAATACACTTTTGCTAGGTAGTTCCTGTTACACACTGATTAAGGGGAGGAAGGTTCTCCAGTACATAGTAGGCTTGCCTACTGCAAGAGATACTGTTTTAACTACGTTATTGCTTCCAAACCCAGTGAGGACTGGGTCCCCCTGTACCCAAGGGTCTGGAATAGGAGTGGACGCCCACAGCCCCCTGGAAGGCGCAGCCCGCCTGCTCAGTGCATCTCATGATGCTCAGTTGGCCTACCCTCTCTGTATACTGCACATTTTTAAAAATCAGACCGTTCAACAAAGGTGGAATTTCCAGAAATCAAAATTACCTTTCTTCCAGAGCCAAGTCTGTCAGCAGTCTCATGGCCGAGTCGGCCTTCTTATCTGAGAAGTCAAGAAATGACAGCAGGGCTTCCAACAATCTGCAAAAATCAATAACAACCTCAGAGTGGGCTGTCCTCCAACCAACAGCATCCACAACAAGGAGACCGGGAAGGAGTCAGCGTCTGGGTGAAACAAGCTGAAAGGGTGGCCTTGCCATCTCCTCCTAGGGAGCCCAGCTGCTTGTCTACCCCAAAGAGAGGGACACTCTCCTACGGGTACGGATCTACTACTTAATGTGAATTCCCAGCGGGTTGAACAGTTTTAACAAAGTTCATTGGTTATCAGACAGCAACTTGGAAGGAATCTCTGGTGCCTCTGCCATATGACCCTGGCTCAGCCAAGTTCTATCACATAAATGACATCTAAATGACATGCTTACTAATCTGCTGATGACTAAGTGGAGGGCCCCCTAATGAGGCTGGGATGCAATAAAGATTCAACAAGATTTTCACAGGCTGCTGAATATATCAGATGAAACTTAATAGGGCTAAACTCAAAACCCTTCACTTAGAGCTGGAAATTCTGTATAAGTAACAGAATTGGGTGAGCTGGTTTATAACTGACTCATATGCAAAGATTTAAGGGTTTTTAGTCAATTACAAACCCAGTATGAGTAAACAGCCTGGTGTGGCTGACAAAAAAAGCTAATGCAATCTCAGGCTGCCCTAACGACTGATGGGCACAGAGTGGTGGAAGGAGTCACCTGTCTGTCCAGCAAACCCACACTCAGCACCTACAGTATGGTAAGGGCTGTGCTCAGTACTAGGATGCAGCACTGAGCTTCTGGTCTCCGACAGTGGCACGTATGTGGTAGGCAACAGGTTAGAAACAGACATATGAAAGTGGGCACAGGGCCGGCCCGGTGGTGCAGCAGTTAAGTGCGCATATTTTGCTTCAGTGGCCCGGGGTTCGTGGGTTCAGATCCCGGGTGTGGACATGGTACCACTTGGCAAGCCATGCTGTGGCAGGCATCCCAAGTACAAAGTAGAGGAAGATGGGCATGGATATGAGCTCAGGGCCAGTTTTCCTCAGCAAAAAGAGGAGGATTGGCAGCAGATGTTAGCTCAGGGCTAATCTTCCTCAAAAAAAAACAAGTGGGCACAGAGTCTACTTCATGGGAAGTGGGGGAGAAATATGGAGAAAAGGAAGGCTTCAAAGAGTGGACAACATTTCAGTTGTCACTTGAAAGTGTAGCCTATTGTTCATTCAATCAGTGATACTTACTGTGTCCTGACTATGTGTCAGGCAATGGGGTAGGTTCTGGGGCCACAACAATGAAACAAGACAATGTCCCAGCTCCAAGAAGCTCGCAGGCCAGTGTCAGGCACACGGGGACAGGAGCAGAGCATCTCAGGCAGAGCACACAGCAGTTACAAAGACAATGAGGCATAAAATAACAGGGACACACTCGGGGCCTGCTAGCGTTGCTTACAGTTAGTACCTAGGGCCTGAGGGGAGGACAGGGAGCAGGGAGTCTAGGGAGCTGGACCGAGCCTGGGTCACGGTGGACTCTCTATGGCCTGCTGGAAAGCTTGTACTTTATCCTGTGGGTCTATGCTTCCCTGTGTGGTTGGTAGAGGACTTGCTCGGTGGCGGTGTACAGAGGGCGGGAGGAGAAGGCAGATTCTTGAGCCCCTCTGGGTCTCTGAGTGGGAGGAGGTTCCAGGAGGCTGCATTTTAACAAAGTCCCCACGTGATTCCTAGGCACTATATTTCTCAGTAGTTGGGTAACTAGTATTATACACAGTAGAGAGTCGTTTCAGCATTTTAAGTAGAAAAATAACAGGACGAATGTGCATTTTAGACAAATTCCTTTGGTGGTAGGGCAGAGGCTGGATTGACGCAGGTAGTATGGGAGGCAGGGAGCACTGGGATTGTCCAGACAATAACTGAGGCAGGGGCAGAGTAAGACGTACAGTCGAGAAGAAAGAGGTGCTGACAATGACCTAGAGGGAATGACTGGAGACACTGGAGGAGAGCCAGAAGGAAATGAACCCGGGAGATGCTGAGGAGGTAGAACCGCCAATATACCATCTTCTTACAGATGGGGAGAGAGAGCCATCCAGGAGGGCTTTCAGGATTCTGGCTGAGGCAACTGTGTGGATGGAAATGCCGCCTAGGAAGACAGGAAATTCAGGTAGAGGGTCCGGTTTGAAGAATCACTTTTGATTTATTAAGTTTATGATACCTGCCACATTGAGATGGAGATGTCCATTGGCAGAAGGATGTTTTCTTCTAGGGCTCAAGAGAGACTTACATGTGACAATTAAGGCCACAGATGAGAAGAGGGCCAAGGGTAGAATATTGGGGTCTCTGACTTGGAAGGCTGACAGCATAAGGCAGGCTCACAAAGGAAACCACGCGGGTAGGAGGAGGGTCAGGAAGGATGATGTCCTGAGAGCCACAGTTGCGGAGTTTCATGAAGAGCACAGTGATCCCTAAGACCAAATGCCACAGCGCAGTAACAAACGAAGACAGAAAAGAGTCCATCAGATTAGGAAGTTAGCAGTATGGGCTCCAGTCACGCACATCTCTGTTACTAGATTTATTTAGCTGCTTGTTCTAGGAGTGGTCTCAAAGTCAAATTACCTAAGGAATGGTCAAGACACCAGGATGCTTAACCTGGAAAAGATGAGTCTTCAGACACCTCAAGCATTGGAAAGTGGGAGATCTGATGCCTTCTGTAGGCTTCCAATAGACCCAACCGAGGCCTCAACGTAGGGAGTCACGGAACAGGGTGGGCAGTCCGTGTTCAGTGGAGGGAGATAATTTTCTAACAATCAGAACCGTCCCAGAAGGGGATGGACTGCCCTGGGAGGTGGGATTCTCATCCTTTCCCTAGCTGGGGAAAGCCCCCCAGTCTATGAGCTGTTATAGTACCCACCCCAATCAAATGGAGAAAAATATAATGAAAACGCTGGAATCTTCCCTGGAGGGCATCATGCATAGGCCGGACTGTGATACCCCAGAGGGAACATCAGTGCTGAGTGGGGCTGGACTGAGGTCTAAGGTCCCGGGTAACTCCAAGCGCTGCAAACCCCCGACCTCCTCAGAAGCGTGCTCTAGTGCTCCTGCCGTCAGAAACCATTCCTTTCACAGTGAGTTCAGTACACGAAGGTGGTTAACTTCCACTCATTGAAACCTGGTTCCTTCGGTCTTGAAGATGAATGCTAACGAGCCTGAAGAGCACAGAAGAGGAGCTGGCAGTCTAAGATCTTCTTGGTTTTTGTCCTGGGAAACATAAACAACCGGGCTTCTTCTCCATGTGACAAAATGCACATCCTAACTGGACTAAAGGGGATGAGACCCCAGAGGAAACGGTGTCCTTCACTACTCTCTCTCATCGCCTTTTTTGGTGGCAGATTTTCTGCTCTGCTGAGAAGCAGCTGTCCCTGTAGATGGACCACAGGTCAGACAATGGTCTCTGTAACCAATAAATGCACTTTCCCCTCCACTTAGGACCCTGAGTGATAGACTTAGAAGAGAGAAAATGATTACGAAAGTTATTACTGAGTCCATACTCCGTGTCAGGCATGACACCAGGGGCTTTCTTTACTATGGCAGACGCTGTTTGCTGGCGAACCCCACAGACACCCTGCTACCCACCGTCTATCCTGCCCGACTCTACTACAGAAGCTGGGATCATTTTCCCCACCAGGGGTGGCATATGACACAATTCTAACCAAAGAAAGAAAAGCAGTAGCTTCTCTCTCTCTCTCTCTTTTTTTTTTTTTTTTGATGAAGATTAGCCCTGAGCTAACATCTGTTGCCAATCCTCCTCTTTTTGCTGAGGAAGACTGGCCCTGAGCTAACATCCGTGCCCATCTTCCTCTACTTTATAGGTGGGTCGCCTGCCACAGCAGCATGGCTTGACAAGCAGTGTGCAGGTCTGCACCCAGGATCCAAATGGGTGAACCCCGAGCTGCCAAAGTGGAACATGCAAACTTAACCACTGTGCCACTGTGCCGGCTTCAGCAGTAGCTTCTCTTGACAAAAGGGACAGACCCGGCTGGTGCTAACCTGTCTTAAAGAGGGCTGTGATGCTTGGAGTTGCAGCAGCCTTGTGTGACGACAAGAGAAAGACCAAGAGAAGGAAAGAGACCTTGACCCTAACATCTTTAAGCCACTGAACCAGCTGTTGCTGTCTTTAGTCTTTTTTGTTATGTGAGAGCAATGAGACCAGCTTTTTTGGTCAAGCATTCTGTAAAATGCAGTAGAAAAAAATTTTAACTGGCATACATGCATCCCCCCTATTCAGCTTCATCATAAGTCTGTGATACACATGAGACACCAGGCTCATCAAGGCTAAGCGACTGTCCTGGGTCATATAAGTAGAAAGAGACAAACAGAGGATTTGAGCTCATGACCGCTTGAATCTAAAAACCTAGCGCTTTCCATAAAGTGATACTGGCCCTCATTTGGCTCCTGTCAATGTACAACAGTCCCTTTAACTTCTCATACAGGAAAGAGTATTTTGGGAGGAAGGTGATATGAGAGCTTCTCTGTGAGGGTCATGGGACCCGTGTGCAGCCCTGTCCTGCCTCAAGCCATCTCATTTCATTTCAGAGAACACATTCCATCTCTCTCCGGTTTAAGTGGAGATAGATATGAATGAGAAGAGTGGGCATAACGGTAATAGCTGGGGTTTCTTTGACTGTCTAAAGAGAGCAGGCGGGACCACACGAGTTGATCATAAATGCCACTCTCCAAGACACTGGAAAAACTCAAATTGAAACTCAAGCAATTCAAAGATAGCTTGGGGGGTAAAAGCTTATGATAACAATAGCTACTTTACTCAAAGAGACCAAAATCAAATGAAAAAACATAGAATGAACGTATTGAGGAAATGACTGCAGAGTCATGTGAAATGTGAAGCGGGCTTTTGAGGATTTAACTCTGCTAACGATCCATCAGCCTGTGTGGGCTGAGCTTCAGGGGGTTGCCAAGGCCTTTCCTGTGAGCCATGGGGGCTGTGACCAGCCGAGAGTAGGGGTGAGCCACAGCCAAGGCTTAACAGCCACCCCATCCTCAGTACACAGTGGACCTCCTCGCCTCCGTGGGACAGGTGCCAGAGTTCTCACCTTGGCCGGGAAAGATCTGACAGGGTTTCAGATTTGGCTGCTTTTCTCAGTGGAAACAGAGAGAGGGAGCTGGGGGTCAAGGCCTGGGAGACAGCTTGGCGAGATTCCCTCAGTTACTTGCTGCAGTTTCTCCTGCCCCATCTGTGAAATGGGGTGGTAACACTTTATCTTGCCTACCTCCCAGGCTAAGAAGAGATAAAAGGAGACAATAGTGAAAAGAGTTAGAAGCCAACTTCTGTTTTTAGATTATGTATGAAGCATTTATAAAGCAAGTTATAATCACTGCTACTATTTCTGTTAGGTTGAACCACGTGAAATTGCCAACATGCAACCTTTCTGATATAAAAATGACAATTTCACATGTTCAAACCAATAGTCTTTAGACTGAAAAGCACTCGGCAGGATCACTGTGGTTCAGTAATTTTTTAATAAAGTCTCCTTAGAAGAGAGGCATACTTTATTCCTATTGCCTTAAGCCTTAGAAAGATCTACCTGCAGTAGGATTTGAAAAGTATTTTATTTATTTATACTGTACCTTGCCCCAGAAAGGGTTAAGGACATGCAAAATCAGAGAGTATGACCTCAAACAGGAATGAACGAAGACAAGTAAGAGCAGGAACAGGGGAGAGCCAGAACTGAGGCCAAAAGGGCAGAAACAAATGACTTATTTAAGGCTGGGTTCCAGATCTGGATTTGGAAGGGCTGCCATTTACACCACCTGCAGTATCTGTGAGGTGGAAACAAGGTCAGGAGAAGTGAACCTGTCCACAGCACGAAGGCAGACAAGAGTTGGTCCGGGAGGTCCTCATGAGGGAGGGTCCCTTTCAAAGGCTCTCCGGTCTTTGATCCTTAATAAAGTCTGATGGCATTTCTCACGTGAGAGGTGTGGGAAGGGAGACAGGGAAGTCTTGCCTCGGCAGGTGACATCTGAGGGGCTGTGGGAAGCCCTGCCGGCAGAGCCTTACCGCGTCAGGTCGAGGTGGCTGATGATCAGGCTCCGTCCGTTCTCAGTCTCAGCGAGCTGCAGCAGCAGGGCCAGGCTCTGCTGCCGGATGGTCAGGACACTGGAGGCCAAGAGGGAGGGCAGCAGCCCACCCGTGCCGGGGTGCACCACAAGCAGACGCTGGTTTTCCTCTGCAAAACACAGGGATTGTCTGCCTGGTGCACAACACGACAGCGATTAAACCAGGTCTGTCTCCCACCATCCCTATGGGAAACCCACTCTCCACTCATTTGAGAAGTGGGATTATGAAGCGTAAGAGCAGGGGCTCTAGAACCAGACTGCCAGGTCTGTGACCAGATGAACGACCTAAGCTGAGTTGTTAACCCCTGTCTCCTCAGCTTCCTCATCAGTGAAGTGATGAAGGTGACCAGCCTAACCGAGCTATTGTGATGATTAAATGAGTCAATTCATGATCACGCTTAGAACAGGACCTGGCACACACATTGGCTAGTATCATGATTCTTGTCAAAGGCTCTGGTGTGTGGTATCTGGAAATGAGAGGAAATGGAAAGAGATCGGCTTAATTGTGGAATATCTTTAGACCACCAAGTTTCATATAAGGGCCAGAGCAACCACTTGAGTTCTTTCTAGAAAACCAAAATATCACATGAGAACATTCATTAATAAAGCATGCCCCTTCCTAGACCGTAAGCTATGTCCAAGGTGGTGGCACTGCATTCCCCGCTTTCGGTTCCTTTTCTAACCAGGTACATGAATTTGTTTGAGAGCAGCCACAGTACCGGCTGGAGGATGAGGCTCAGCTACGAAACAGGGCAGAGTCTGTTTAGTTTATATAGTTTTTCTTACACTGGAAAAGTAGCTCATTGTAAACAATTCAAATAACACAGAAGAAGCATAAAGCTGAAAATGAAAGTCCCTTCTCTCGTACCCCCTCCAGGTAAGCCCATTTCCTACAGAAGCTATTATTCACTCCTCGTAAGAATAGCGTTACAAAATAGGATAACTCCTACCCTGTAACCTGCTTCCCTTGCCCGCTCAACAACACATCACAGACATAGTTCCATTTCCTTACTTTTAAGCATCCCCTTGTCCTTTTTAAAAACTGCTTCATATTTATCGAGTTGGATGTACCAAGATTTCATTGATCTGAGACGGAGCATTTACATCAAAGGCTGTGTCTGACAGTATTTCTTCAGATGTTAAAGAAAAATGTGACCCCCTAGGTTCATAGAAACCAAAGGAGGATGCAGGCTGAGGAAGTCAGGCTGCGGTGGGGAGGGGCTAGGTCCCACTTACCAAGCCCTCCCTCCCTCCCCCTCCTGTAGGGGGATTTGCAAAAACACTGCTTGAGCTGTGCAGAATCCTACAGAGCAGCAGGGCACCTTGCTAATATTGGTCTGAGCATAATGCTCCTCAGGAAAGAGGCCCCCTGATTCTCTCGTTTTCTAGAATTTAAGATGATTCCGTCACTCTACTAAACCAAGAGAAAAAATTATATTATCTCCTAGTCAGCATTTTATAGTTTACAAACTGCATTCACAAGTTCTAATGCTGACTTACCACAGGAGCCCTGTGGAAAGGAGACACAGCTATCATTATTCCCATTTTCAGTGTTTTGTGTCCTTTTCCTATCAAAACACAATTTTTTTTGATTGGCACCTGAGCTAACATCTGCTGCCAACCTTTTTTTTTCTTCTTCTCCCCAAAGCCCCCCAGTACATAGTTGTATATTCTAGTTGTAGGTCCTTCTGGTTGTGCTATGTAAGATGCCACTTCAGCATGGCCTTACACGTGGTTCTAGGTCTGTGCCCAGGAGCCAAACTGGCAAAACCCTGGGCCACTGAAGCAGAGAGCGCGAATTTAACCACTCGGCCATGGGGCCAGCCCCAACACAATTTTTTTTAAATGCAGGAAATACTTAAAATTTTTGGTTACATTGAGGTCACAAAAGAGATAAGAAAGATCAGACAAAAATTTAATGACCCCCAGAAGATGCTAATATGTAAAAAGGTAAGAGTTAACAAGGTAAACAAAATCCTTATAGAATTTTACTGTTCCAAGGTTACACTAATCAGTGTCACAAGGTGCCAGCAGGCATGATCGTAAACCTTGTGATTCTGAAATAGGCGATCAGCAGAAAGGAACAATATTTACAGGCAGACAGGAAAGGAAAACTCTGTCTACCCCGCTACCAACACACGAGCAGAGGTCGTGAGTCTGAACAGAGCAGGGCGAGTGCCCAGTGATGAGACCACTCATTCTGCTGACCGGGACCTTCGCCACAGTGGAGGCGGCTGTGAGGGTGCTGGAAACACGAGTGCAGTGCAGGCCTTGCTTCTGATCCATATGCTTTTTCGGGGGAAAAGTCTAGACATCAACCGTCCAGGGCCTGGCCTTAGGTGGGAACCATCATGCCCGACTGGGCAGTGCCTGCATTAACAGCGCATTAGCCACGATTAACGGTGATGACTCAGGCTTACCGTTCCCAGCGCACACTGCCTGCCAGAGCCTGAGAACAGACACACAGACTGTCTCTTCCACTGCATCTTTTCCTGCTGTGGAAAAGCACCTAGAACAGATAAGGGAGAACAATATTAAACTAGAAGTTAGTCTTGATCTTTTTTCCAGTTGGTTTATTTCAACTCCAGACTCCTAAAATGCGGGTTTAAGAAAATATCTTAATAATCCAGAGCTGCGGGTCACCAGGACCAATGGACTACTAAGCCCTGAACTGAGAGCTCCAGGACAACGATGCAGGCCCAGGAGGTCAGGGCTGCACGGAGGGAGGGCGGTGAGCCAGGGGCCATGGGCGATGGCCGCACCAGGACCAATGAACTGTGGTGGGCCAGCAGACGGCTGAGCATTCATGGTCCTCCTCTCATGTGCAAACACGTGCTGGTGACTGCACCCCACATCAGTGTCCTAAGCCTCAGGAATTGCACCATCACAATTAAAATACAAAATAAGGTAAAAATAAATTTAGCAAACCACCTCCTAGCATATGGGTCTTTCTTCAGATGAAATTATAAACGGGATCAGCCAGGACCCAGTTGATCTCATTTCCTGATATGATTAACAAATTCCAAAAGAGGAAAAGAACAAATAGCAATCCTGCAAAAACTGTGGGAAACCAGCAAGAATGGTCATTTCTTTGACTTTGAAGTGCTTGGAGGAACCCCGGGAAGTTCTGCTGACCTTTTGTCTCCCTGAAGTTGGTAACTGTGGGATAACTCAAGCTGCCTGAGGCTCAAAGCTCAAGGGGTGTTCACCTAGCAGCTCTGCCCTCTTCGAGGGGCCACAGTACTGACTGAAGGTGATACTATCCAGGGAAGCCACTGCCTCTGCCATTAGCGTCTGATTTCATGAGAAATGGTCCTTTCCTTGCTGTGATGCTGGGCTGTCTTTACAAACATCCCTACCTTCTTATGACCTCATTCTCACTGATGATACTGAATCCATTATGTGTTCTGAATAAAGTTCGTTCTGTGCCTGAAAAGAATTCAGAGAAAACCACATCAGACTCCTGAACTGTCTGGCCGACGTTTGGCTGTAACAGGGCCAGCCGATAATGAGAAACCCAATATGGAATGTCAAGGTCACCAAATTAACAGGTTGGGCAGAAACAAATACCTTTACATTCTGAAACCTACAGCTGTCATCAGCCACTCAGTGCCACAGGGATAGAGACATGCTGTTTGGAGAAGGATCGCTGAGCCCAGGGGGTTCTATGGGTCATCTGACAACTCATCATTTCACAATCTTTAGAGAGTCTCCAAGAGCCACTTAACCTCTGGGAGGAACTGGCATATCCATCTGTTCTTATATATTTATTTCGAAGCTGTTTCCAGGCTCTACAGAGGAAGCTATAATCTCCAAGAAGCTACCAAAGGGGAAGTTTGAGCACCCTCCATTGTATGCTAAAGGGACATCAAGGACTCCATCTATTTGTACAAACATTCTGCCACTGAGTAACAAAAAACGGTGTAAGCCCTGGTGTCAATGTTTACAAGAACTGACAAAGGAGAAGAGTCTGACTCTCCTTAGCAGGGGCAGAGCTCATGTTTGCTCTGAAACTACACACAAGCACACGTCCTAAGCAGCCATTAAGTGTAAGTGAGGTGAACCTTACAGTTTATCCTACAAAATTCTGTCTTCTATTCCTCTATGGTTGGGTGGAGATTTGTGGGGGTGGGACAGGGTGTCTGGGTGTATATGGGGTATGTGTGGGATGGGTGAGCATGTGTGAAGGGTGAATCATGTGTATGCATGATATAAGTATATATGGTGTATGTGTCGTGTCTGCATGGCATTTGTATGTGTGTGTGGTTTATGTGATATAAGTAGATACGACGTGAATGCTCACTGTGTGTGTATGTGTGTGTGATGTAAGCATATATGGAATGAATGCATACTATGCGTATTTGTGTTTTGTGTTATATTGTCTGTGTGGTGTTGACTGCATGTGTGTTGAGTGCATGCATGCTCTGAGGAGAGGATGGAGCTGGGGTGGGGTATAACTCTTACGCACGCCCTTTAGCATCCACATTTTAGTAGATGTTCCATCAATATTTGTGGAAGGCGGGGGAAGGGATCCTTTCCTCATTGGGCAGACCTCTATGCTCTGTCCCTTTACAACAACAGTATTCATGAGATCACACGCCTCTCTGGCTTACAGTCCTTCATCATTTCCGTCAGGATTTCAACTCCCCCTGCATAGAACAAGGGCATCTGATCAGGCTTGGAAAGAGTCTCCAGGAGATTCTTGGTTGTCACGGCTGTGCTCCTCCCTGAATCCAGCAATTCATGGGCTTCCTTCTCCTGAAGGTCTGCTTTCTCCCGAAGATCTGCCTGATTCAGGTAATCTAGTAAAACAAGAAGGGAAGAAACACAAAACCCCAACAAGCAGCATTACCCACAAGAAGCAACCGCTTTTGAGGATGGGAGGTTGAGAGGCATAAAGCATGAAAATAATTCTAACTCGTCTTCGGTAAGGAAAATTCTAGGAACAGTATACAGTCTATACCCAGAATCTTAAACCATCTTCGGGATTCAAGGACATTATTCCCTGTCTACAAGGCCCTGAGGAAGGATGGTGTACAAAAGGAGGAAGGCACATATTAGAGTGGGAGAACAGAGGGACGAGGGGCAGGGCAGCCTGTTAACATGGAGGCTGTGACTGTGTAGGCAAGGCACGGCTGTGCTCTGTGGCCAAGTGCAGAGCAGGTATGGAAGGCACCCTAAGGCCAGAGCACAAAGGGGAGGTGGAATTCAAAGGAAGGACACCAGCAGGAACATTCTCACCTTTCACCTGTGTTTGCAGCTGGGGGTTTATTTCTAAGATCTTCTGATAACACTCTCTAGCCTGGAAAAAAGAAACAAGACCTTGAAGAGTGGTCAGGGCGTAAAAGTGATTATAAGAAAGACACTGGGTACCATAGGGCTTGACTTCCTCATTATTTTCTCCCAGCCTTCTCCTGCTCCCAGAGTAGGAGAAAGGCATGGGGAACACAGCGTGAATTTGACATTTTGTTTAGGCTTCTCTGGTTCTGTGGGGCAACAGATATTATTTCAAAATTTATTTTAAAAAATAGTGTTGTCAGATACAGCCTGTGATGGAAAATATTCAGTCCTAAATTCTTGTGGATCATGTCTGGCTAGGATAGGAATAATCATTAGGTAAATGCAAAATTCAGATATGATATTTGCACTGAGAAAGAACAGGAGGCTACCTGTCAGATATGCCCAAAGGGAGTATGGAAATAAATGAAGCTAGAGACATTATTGACAGAGACTTGGGCACAGGAAAGGAGGACTGCCTATTTAAATGTACAGGGCTGCAGAGAGAGCCAGAAAGGGGTCCACTCATGACCATGTAAGAGTCTCCTAGAAAACCTGAGAGTGGGGGGGCTCTCACTGAGGAAATTGTTAGACAGAAAGTTTCTGGAAAAAGAAAGATTCTAGTTCTCGGGGCATGTTGCTGGGTTTAGGGCAGTATTGTCCTCGGGGATATCAAGAACTGCCCAGCGCATAACGCCACCAGTCACTGAGAGACAAAGCTCAGAAAAAAACAGTTCTGAGATATCTCGGAAGCTCAAGGCTCATCTAGAAGATTAGGACGAAGAAATGAACTGAAGAAGAAACATCCCATTAAAACAGAATATCGTCACAGGATAGAAGTATATACATCAAACATGGTGACTGCTCTAGACTGAATGTTTGCATCCTCCCCCAAATTCATATGTTGAAACCTAACCCCCAGTGCGATGGTCTTTGGAGGTGCGGCCTCTGGGAAGTGATTAAGTCATGATAGTGGAGACGTCATGAATGAGATTAGCACCCTAATAAAAGAGACTCCAGTGAGCTCTCTCACCCCCTCTGGCTGTGTATGAACTAGGAAGTGGGCCCTCACCAGACACCAAATCTGCCTGTCCTCCAAAACTGTGAGAAATAAACGTTTCTTGTTTTAGCCACCCGGTCTGTGGTATTTTGTTCCAGCAGCCCAAAAGGACTAAGCCAGTGACCCTGTATCCAACTTCTTCTTCTTTTTCTTTTTTTTTAAAGATTTTATTTTTTCCCTTTTTCTCCCCAAAGCCCCCCGGTACATAGTTGTATATTCTTAGTTGTGGGTCCTTCTAGTTGTGGCATGTGGGACGCTGCCTCAGCGTGGTTTATGAGCAGTGCCATGTTTGCGCCCAGGCTTTGAACCAACGAAACACTGGGCTGCCTGGAGCGGAGTGGGCGAACTTAACCACTCAGCCACGGGGCCAGGCCCTCCAACTTCTTTTTAACCCTAGATCCAATCTATCAGCAATTCTTGTTAGCTTCACTGTCAGTATATATCCAGAATCCCATCACTTCTCACCACCTCCACTGTCACCAACCTGGTCCAAGCCATCATCACTTCTCACTTGGATAATATGTTATAATACCCTTCTAACTGGTTCTCTGTTCTCTTATCATGCCAAAATATATTCTTGATACAGCAGTGATCCTTTAAAACATGAGTCAGATCATTTCATTCCTTTACTCGAAACCCTCCAATGGCTCCTGGCTCACTCAAAGTAAAAGCCAATGTCCTACCACAAGCCTATAAGGTCCTAGGGGATCAGCCTTCACACACCCCCATCACCTGTCTGACCTCATTTCCTATCACTCTCCTGTTTGCTTGCTCCAATCTAGCTATCCCTGTAACTGGACCACTCCTCCATTATATATTTACGTGCCTTACTCACTTAACTCCCTCTCTTCCTTCAGAGAAGCCTTCCTTGACCACTCTATATAAAACCAATCTCACCTCCACCACTTCCTGATTTAGTTTTCACAATAACACTATTACCGCCCAACATAATACACATCTACTTCCAGCCACTCCTACCCCAAGAATTGAGTTCCAGCAAGTCAAAGATTTTGTCTTATTCACTGATGTATTCCTGTTGCCTAGGACAGTGCCTGGAACAATTCTTTATTGCTTCTCTACTACCTGACCTTATTACCATAAGCCTGTATTACTTTTACAATTAAAATCCAACAAAGAAAAGAATTTTCAAAAAAACGTACAATAGGAGGCAATTTCTTTTAAATATATAATATCTTGTAAATGGAAAGGCATCCCACGTTCATGGATTAGAAGACTTAATATTGTTAAGACGACAATACTCCCCAAATTGATCTACAGATTCAATACAATTCCCATCAAAATTCCATCTGGCTTCCTTGCAGAAACTGACAAATTGACTCTAAAATTTGTATGGTAATTCAAGGGACCCAGAATAGCTAAAACATTCTTGAAAAGGCAGAGCAAAGTTGGAAGACTCATGCTTCCCAACTTCAAAATTTACTACAAAGCTATAGCAATTAAGACTGTGGTATATGCACAAGAACAGACATATAGATCAATGGAATAAAATTAAGAGTCCAAAAATAAACTCATGCATTTATGATTAATTGACTTTTGATAAGAGTGCCAAAATCATTCAATGGGAGACAGAATAGTCATTTCAACAAATGGTGCTGGGCCAACTGGATATCCACATGCAAAAGAATGAAGTTGGATCCCTTCCTCACACCATATACAAAACTTAACTCAAAGTGGATCAGAAATCTAAATGTAAGAGCTAAAACCATAAAACACTTAGAAGAAAACAAAGGGGTAAATCTTAGATTAGGCAATGGTTTCTTAGATATGACACTAAGAACATAAGAAACCAAAGAAAAAATAGGCAATTTAGACTTCATCGAAATTAAAAATTTTTGTGCTATAAAGAACACCATCAAGAAAGTGAAAAGACAACATGGAGAGTGGGGGAAAGTATTTGCAAATCATTGATCTGATAAGGGACTTGTAGCCAGAATATATAAAGTACTCTTACTCAATATAAAAAGACAAATAACCTAATTTAAAAAATGAGTAAATAATCTCAAGAGACATTTCTCCAAAAAAGATATACAAATGGCCAATAAACACATAAAAAGATGCTCAATATCATTAGCCATCAGGGAAATGCAAATCAAAACAACAACGATATACCACTTCCCACCCACTAGGATGGCTATAATCAAAAATACAAATAACAAGTATTGTCCAGGATATGGGGCAATTGGAACCCTCATACACAGCTGGTGGGAATGTAAAATGGTGCAGCCACTTTGGAAAACAGTCTGGCAGTTCGTCCAAAGCTTAAACATAGAGTTACCACACATCCCAGCAGTTCTACTCCTAAGTATATAGTCAAGAGGACTGTAAACAGATGTCCATACAAAAATTTGTATACGAATGTTCAAAACAGCCAAAAGTGGAAACAACCCAAATATTCATCAACCAATGAATAGATAAATAGACCATGGTATATCCATATGATGGAATATTATTCAGCAATAAAAGGAATGAAGTATCAATACATACTACAACACAGATAAAACTTGCAAACAAGTTGAGTAAAAGAAGCCAGTCACAAAAGACCACATATTGTATAACTCTATTTATATGAAAAGTCTAGAACAGGCAAATGTATAAAGACAGAAGTAGATTAGTGCTTGCCTAGCATCGAGGTGGTGGTGGAGGGAAGGAGAGTGACTGCTAATGGGTAAAGGGTTGTTTGTGGAGGTGACAAAAATCTTCCAAAATTGACTGTTGTACTGGTTGTGACACTCTGAATACACTAAAGACCACTGAATTATATACTTTCCATAGGTCAATTGTTTGGTATGTGAATTATACCTCAATAAAGGGGCTATTAACAATATACATCTCAGCATGTATATACATCTTCATGACTACTTTTTGGGTGATAAGATTACAAGTGAATCTTGTTTTCATCTTTTTGCTGATGTCTCTTCTCTGCTGAGGTGCCCTTCCCAGGCCGAAGGAACACTGGTAGAAGATACCGCAGAAGGGATTCCTACAGCAGGCGGGGTTGTACTCGACAACACTCAACATCCTTCCTAACTCTAAGATACGAAGATCTACGTTGGAAAATGCTAACGGCTGGGTTAATATCTAATCAGCATGGAGGAACATGGTTCTCCTGAGACAGTATGAAGCATCGCTCTGTGATCAAACATGCCACTTACATTCCTCTAAGAACTTACCACGCTGTAGTTCTTTAGGGCCAGGTGGGCTTTTCCCATGTGGAAATATGCTTTTGTGCATTTTTCATCACACTGCATAAAAGAGAATGGCTGATCAGACATTTCAGGAGATGTGAAGTCATTAGCCACTCCCTAACTGCCTGACTAAGAGAGCTAAGGCAGAGCTTTGGTCCGCAGGACAGCGACCAGAGTTACCCATTAAAACTTTTCTGTGCATCTGTGACCAAACTAATTGATGCCTGCAAGGATCCTGGAGGCACAAGTCAGTTCTCTATCAAATTAATTAATGATACTTGCCAGTTTTCGTTTCCATTTAATGAGACTCAATCAGGGAACAAAGCAGAAACTTTTAGTTTAGAAGAGCTCTTGACCTTGGATAAATATTAAAATCACCTGGCATGCTTGTAAAACCTCCTGATGGTCAGGCTGAGCCTCACAACAATTAAATTATACTCTAGGGTAGGGCTCAGGTATCAGCAACTTTGTAAGCTCTCCGGGTAATGTAAATGTGCAGCCAAGTTTGAGAACCAGTGGTTTATTAGAAGAGAGGAAAATTTACTCTGGGCAAACAGCTAAGGTTACTATTATAGCTTAGTGGGCCTGGGAAGTTCTTCCCCTGAAACAAACCACAATATGTTGGCTGGAAACATTCTCGTCACTTAAGATGAGGAAGTACATCGCCTTCAAAAGGCAGGATTGAAACTTATGACTGAGACTACACCATTTGCACAGGGGGTCCTGCACCTGCCTGCCCCTAATTATTATAACTCCAGAGGGAATGATTCAGCACAGGGGCATAAACTAAAATTTAAAGCATCCAGTTAGTTAACTGAACCCTTTTGTGTGCAAGGCATTGTGTTGGGTCTGGATGCCCCTCAGGGGTTTAAGATTTCAAAGGATTAAGCGGGCAAGCTCAGGAGTCTAAAGAGTCCTGGGTGAAGCCCTGGTCTGCCCCTCGCCAGAAGTGGGATGTTGGCCACCTAACTTTTCTGACGCTCATTTTCTTCACCTGGAGAGTGAAGATAACACTAGTGTCTCTCAGGTTGCTGTGAGGAGGAAATGCACATAAGACAGTGCAGTGCTGGGTAATACAGGATTAGCTGCTGTTGCGGCAGCCACAACTGCAGTGCATTTTAGCGCAAAAGAGAAAATTTAAAGAAAAGCTACATAATAATAGAAGTAACAATAACTGTCATATTTAGAGAGGGCTTCATGGACATATCTTTATGAATGTCATTTCCTGATTCGCTGCTACGTGAATGGGAATAATAGTAACAGTAATGATAATAGTGCGTTGTTGTTCAGTCCTTACCATGCGCTAGGCACTGAACTTGATGGTTCATACGAATTATCTCACATAAGCCTCATCCCAATTCTATGAAGTAGATACAATTATTATCCTCATTTTACAGATGAGAAAACTAGGGGTCAGAGAGCTTCAAGGTCATACAGGTACCAAGTGAAAGAGCTGGGATTTAAAATCTGGCCGTTTGACTCCAGGGCCCAAAGGCTTAAATATTACATCAAATCCCCTTCTGAAAGTGCTACTGCAGTTCAGTAGAAGGAAATCCACTGTGAAGAGATGTCGTCTAAGAAAGGGCATGCAAAAGAGAAGGGATTTGAGCTGGATCTTGAATGACACGGAGGAGGATGAAGGAAGAATGGGCTGAGCACGGCCCAGGGGTGGGAACACACAAGGGCTTGACGGACAGTCTAGTACAAGAAGCAGGTGCTGGGCGGAGGGAGGAGCAGGCTGGAAGGACTGCACATGGAAGCCTTGAATGCCAGGCTGGAGGAGGTGAGTGATCAATGGCAGTGTGTAGGAAAGTTGGTCTGCAGATTGCGTGCAGAGCTGACTAGAGGAGGGAAAGGCAGTGTGAGAAGTGAGGAGACCAAAATAATCACTTAGAATGAGGGGCTGATGACATCTGAGGTCCTGATGACAGTGGGAGAGAGGAGAGTGCAGATACCAGAGCTACATCAAAGAGAGAATGGACCAGCATCAACTAACCATAAAGGATAAGGGCGAAGGAGGAGGTCAAGTCACAAGTTTGGGGTTTTGAATCCTGGAAGACATCACATGCCATTAAGAGAAAGGGGTAAGGTAGGCCAGGTGGTGGGAATGTTGAGCGAGAAGATGAAGAGTTTGTTTCCAGGCAAACTGCGTTTCAGACAATGCCAAGACAACCCCACAGAAACCTGCAGGAGGCAGCTGAAATGCAGCCCTGGAGCACCGGGAAGGTGGAGACGGGGAAGCAGGGCTGAGAGCCATTTGCACAGAGTTGAACCCATGAAAGGAGATGAGAGAGCTTTGCAGGGAAACTGCAGAGAGAAGAAAGGCAGGGAGCCGAGGAGTGACCCCGGGAGACTTCACAAGGATGAAACAGGGGAAGCAGGAAGGGAATGGTCAAAGGGAGAGGAAACTCCAGCACTGCAGCTTCTGAAAGCTGAACGTCCACAGAATCTGCACTGGCAGGGCATCAGGGTTACCACAGGGGGCAGCACGAGCCCCGAGCCTCCTGTGTGTCACCATGAAGGGGGTACATTGTGACTGTGCCTCCCTCAGACACGGGCACAAAGGGCTGCTAATGGATTTTCTCTCTAACAGGCCTTTTCTCCTCTGATCCTGTGTCAACCCTCATCAGGATTTTCTCCAGTGAACCCCAGATCCCCTTAAAAGGAACCCTGCCTTCAGAGGAAGATGGATTTTACTGCGCAGGAAGTGTTCTGCCAAGAAAGAAATGATTCTGATCCTGATTGAAACCAGCTTCGCTGCCTTATCTTCCCTGACAAGGAACTGTCATCACATGGGCTTGTCTCTACCAATTCAAAAGTGTCAAAAAATATTAAATTGGCATGAAAGTACTAATACTGTTAATAATGGAGTACCACTGATGTTCGCTATTGAGACATTACCTTTGAAGAGAAGGAAACTTTTTCTTTTAATTCACGGCTTTGACATAGAGCCAATCATTGCTAGCTTTTTAGAAGTTCTTATACATTTTTTCCCCATCCTTCCAAGTGTTTACCCAAACCTCTGCAACTGGGAGCCTCACTGGGCATCTAACAAGAGTGGCTGCTGTGTGTCAGCGTTTTTTAATGTCAGCCCTGTTGGGCCTGCTTTGCCTCGGTTTCGCTGTTAATTACATTGTGCTTCAATTAACATTTGGGAACAGGCCAGAGTGTTATCCTGAATCAGCATGATGGTGCGACTACTTCCTTCATCCTTTTCAGATCAGAAAAGATACTCCTGGAAGCCCCATGAGGAGAAGCTGTTTCTTCCCTAGAAGGGAATGAGATCACATCCAGGGATTATGGGCTTTAAGGTTTCGGTGGAGAGGCCGTGTACAGTAGCTGGTTGAGAGCACCGGCTTACAGTTAGACCAATATGAGCTGGGTGATCCTGCACAGGTTACTTAATTAATGTCTGAGGCTCAGTTTCCCTGTCAGGGAAATAGGGATAAGAGTGGTATGGAACAGAAGAGAATAAATGTTGTGAGGCGCAAACGAGATAGCCCATGGCCAGCATGCAGCAAATGGCAGCTTTTGCTGTTATCGTTGAAACAACCCAGGAAAATGTCCTTGCCTATCTCTTCTCTTACAGAGGAGGCAGAAAAAGAAATCACCATCAAATAAGGTGACAGACCAGGTGAGTGGATCTCTGTTGGAGCTGTGAAGAACCTCATGTTGTCAGCTTTGGGCAGTTCTCATAATTTAAAGACCGTAATGATGCAATGGGACAAGATTTGCCACACAATGTATCTTCAAAGGGATAAAGAAATCAAGCTTTCCAGATGTCAGTCTGGAGGATCTCTAGTGTTTTATAAACCATTATTAGTAAAGGTGAGTTTCTAATTCATCTGTGTTTCCCTTGCTTACCCTCTCAATAAAAAATAAGGAAATAGGCATGGCCAATATGTTGCTGTCAAATGTGCTCTTGTTTTGGGCCACACTCATTAAGCTGGGGTAGGTGGGCTGTACTGAGGGAATTTAAGCCACAAGATAAACATGGCACCTCAATTTTACTCGATTATAAGTTATTTAAAATAATATGGTTATATTAAAATAAACAGATACATTTTATGGAACGCAACGCAAAATTTGCAAGAATTTTTAAGATAAAACACACGTCTACAAAGAAATTTCACACTCTCTGCCTCTAGCCCCTCCAGGGGCTCATGTGCATCCTATTAGCAGCACTTCAGTGAGAAAGTCTGGGAAGCACTGGTTTTGGTTATTTATTTAGTTAAAACCCCCTGTGACAGAGGAACTTAGGGGAATGTGGATTAAGGGTTATTTAAATATTTAGTCATCTGAAATAATGTCCCTAGGAAGTGATCATGACATTTCTCTTTTAGAAACTCTTCTAATATGTCCACCAACCATCCTTACTTCTCCCCACCTTTAATTATCTATTTTGGCAGGTTTTGGAGGAAATAGCATGCACAGTATTACGCTATCTGCCTGAGGCCTGAGTAGTATCCAGGTTGAACAATAGGAATGCTTTCTTCTGATTATTCCTCTGCAAATAGGGGATATTATAACACATTTCTAAATTATTAGAGCTGGGGGGAAAAGTGCAAACTGATGAGGAGGAATGACAACATTGCAGAAACAAGCTCCCATGGTTGGCTCTAGAAAGAGAAGGAGGCATTGCCACGGTCACATAAAGCAAAGCCTCTGATAACACAATAGTAAAGGATGAGCCATTGCAATATAAACCTTGAAAAACCACTATTAACAGCGCCTTCTCTGGAGGACTTACTATGAGCTAGGTACTTTACGTGCATTATCATAACCCTCACAGCAATTCTCTTCTATCCCACTTTGCAGATGAGAAATCACCCTTTCCCACCGTGATATACTGGCAGCAACCCTCTGCTCACTTCAGGACTACATCATGTGGCCCAAGCAAGCCCAACTCCATGACGTGGAAAAGGAAATATCTTCTTACCTTCAGAGCCCAGTCACAATCCACTAGTGCCCTCTGGTAGTCCCCAAGTTTTATATAAGCCTGTAATGACACAAATAGCCAATGTTCACACACAGCTCTGCAGCAAGCTGTCTTTAGTCAACACAGAAAGAGCAGTCAAACAGTAGAATGGTAATGAGAAGTCACTGCTCCCTCCCTGTATCAGGCAGGGTCCCAGCAGGAAACAGATGGCACACTCAGGCTCAGATCATAACCAAGGAGAGTGTAATAAAGGGACAATTTAAAAGGTGAGGGTAGGAATGTTACAGCCCTCAGGGTGGGCAACAGTGGCCCGCTATCACCACTGCTAGAACGGAAGGGGCAGGGGAGGAGCGATGAACAGCACAGGAAAGGTCAGCTTTGAGAAAAGCGCTGCCTAACAGGAGCTGAGGCCTTTAGTAGAACCAAAGCTGGGAGAATAAACACCCAATCTCACTTTCCTCCTTCCTTCTGATCTCTCTGGCTGAACCCAAATGGAAGCTAGAAAGCTAGGAAGTCCAGGGGCCAGTCCACAGAGGTCAGTCCCCCAGGGCACAGAGCAGGGCAGAGAAGGATCTGGAGGGGCAGACAAAAATACCCAGCACGCTAAATACATCTACAAAGGAAAAGCTAGCTTCTAGAGTCTACCCCTCTGTGAATGTTCCAGAGGGAAACCAAATGATAAAGGGACTCAAAAAGATAATTACAAGTGTGGACAAGAATGGAGAAAAATTGAAATATTCATTCACAGTGGTGGGAATGTAAAATGATGCAACCACTTTGGAAGACCATCTGGCAGTTCTTTCAAAGGTTAAACCTAGAGTTACCATATAATCCAGTAATGCCTCTCCTGGGTGTGTACCCAAGGGGATTGACTTACGTCCACACACAAAATTGTACACAAATGTTCATAGCAGCATTATTCATAATAGTCAGAAAGTAGAAACAACTCAAATGTCTATCAACTGATGAATGGATAAGCGCAGTATATCCACACAACAGTATATTATTCAGCAATAAAAAGGAAGGAAGTACTGATACATCTTACAACATGGATGAAACTTGAAAACGTTATGTTAAGTGAAATAAACCAGACACAAAAGGAAAAAATATCATATGATTTATATGAAATGCCAGAATAGGCAAAGGTATAGAGACAGAAAGTGGATTAGTGGTTGCCTAGAGCTGGGGGTGGGGAAGGACAGGAGGCCTGGGGGGGGGGGGGGGGTGACTGCTTAAAAAGTATGGGGTTTCTTCTTGGGATAATGAAAATATCCGAAAATTGGTTGTAGTCACGGTTGCAAAACTCTGTTGAACATACCAAAAATCTTTGAATTGTACACTTCAACTGGGTGAATTTTATGTCAATTATATCTCAATAAAGCTGTTACCAAAAACAGACAGAAAAAGTCTGCTTCTTTCCTCATGAGCACAGCAAGAAGGAAGAGATATAGGAAATGGGCTGACATTTAGCAGTCAGACCACCATCAAAAGCCCTCAGTGCCAAATGCCCCCTTTTGGGATCCCCTAGAATTGAAGAAAATCTTGAAAATCAAGAATTGACTCAGAATTCTGAGATCCATTGAAACTAAACTGAATTTAGCTCATTTACACTTTCAAAGAACTAGTGGCATATAAACAAATGAAAGGCTGTTCATCAGCAAGTACAATGGCTATTATACCCGTTATATTAATTACTGGACACAATAGGTGGTCAATACTTTCTTATCAAGTTGTATTAAGTAGACTTTAAGCACTCTTCTTTTGGAAAGTTCCCTAAAAAGCATCAGTGATCGTCCCACTGTAAGAAAGGAAAACCAGGCACCAGGAGGATAAGTGGCTTTCCCAGCGTCCCAATGGTCACCAATAATAGAGTCAATACTACATGTAGGTTTGTCTGTGATCAAAACTGTCCCAGGGCACTGTGACATTCTTAACAATAAATCTGACGAAATATTTACATGGTCAAGCCAATTATGGGGTCAGTGTTATAACTCCTGGGGAATCTAAGCATTCAACCAAAGCGAAGGGGGAGCAGGCGGTAGCCAGCTAATGAATTTCCGCCATGCAGCTCTTTGCATCGATAGAAAGGAAGGTGTTATGTAGTGCTTTCATTAACTTGGGTTCTGTACTAATTGAAGTTGACGACTCTTTGAGCTGTCTGTTCTATAAAGCACCATCCTTTCCTTCAGGGTTTGGGATTTCATTTGAAAGTCAGAGGATGTGAGAAAGAAACTAGCATCCTTCTAGAAAACCGTAGCCACGATTCCGTGACATTGTTATTCAGGAGACACACAGACTGAAAAAGTCTATATGGGTGGGTTTAACAATTTCTCTACACAGCCTTTCACTTTTTCTTTCTTCTTTTTTGTTTCCTAAGGCTTGCATTCAATACCCTCTAACTTCCCTGTTCTCTTTTGCTTTTCCACATTTTAAAAAGAACTACTTTCCCAAACGGCAATTAAACTCCTGATTTACCTAAATTACACCAGCAAGCTATTGATCATAACATTAGCTCCAGGAGAAAACAAAGCCATGAACGGGTAGATTTTCCTTCTAGCAAGCAACAACACTCAATTCACAGGGTCCTTATTAAGTGTTTTCTAACACTGCATGCAAACAGGGGAGGCATTTTAAAAATAGTCAATGGTTCAAATGATTCGTAACACCAGGCAATGCATTTTGCATTTATTTGTCTCTGAATAAGCTTTCTCTTTGGGAAAGCTGGGGGGAATTGCTTCCCCAAAGCTTTTCATTGCATTTACTTATTTTTATCCACATTCTTAACGTGATTCTCCAGAACTAATCAAAGTGCTGCTTAAACTTGAGTACAGTAAAAATGTATCTAATTTAAATGAATCAGGTTAGAGATTGTCTCAATTAGACATAAGTCTGAATTATATAACATTTTAAAAGCAATTCAATTTTACTGCTTTCAAATAACTTCAGAGCAACAAGCATCCGTAGGTAAATGTTTTGCAGACCAAATTTGGTGATAAATAAAAATTTGTTTTCATTCAAATGTTTCTTTTGAAGTGTCAACAGAAACTTAATTCCCTTAATTGGACTTATGTGCCTCCAGTGTTATATAACTCAACAAGGATTTATTGAACATCTGTTATAAATAAAGTATTAGGGGGAAAAGTATATGGCAGATTTTGCCCTCAAACAGTTTCTAATCTTGTTAGGGTGATAAAATGTACACTGTTAAATCAACCTCTGTCCATTTTATTTACCAATTCATGTCCTTACAACAATTTTTCTCCACAGTTGGGGTCAGGTAAGTGACACCTCAACTGCAGTCTGACTGATCCAAACTGCTGAACTAAGGAGGTTACACCGTGCTGGGATTTATTTATCATTAAATCACTGTCACTTCCCAGGCTTTTTGACTTCCTAATGTCCTGTGCCTTCCATTCAACACTCGTCCTCCACGTACCACAGTGGGACGTTCTTAACTGTAAGTTACAGAAACTGGAGCTGATGAGAGCTCTGCTGCACCTTCACCCTCTTGTGAATGACAGGGCACCCAGTTCATTTCACACAGGTCCGGCTGACACATCCTGACCATCAATCACGTCTGCCAATCTGCCAATTTTTCAGGCCTGAGCAACAGAGAGCTCCACCACACACAAACCCAAGTACTTTTCAAAGAAAAGGTCAGAGGTGACATTTTTGTTTCAAGTGAAGAACTATCAACCTTGTCCTTTCATTAAGTAGTAGATAATAAACATCTGGGTGATGGTTTTTACCTGGCGTTCCAGGAAACTAAGCTCGTCTGTGATACAAAACTGAGGTATTAGGGATTTCACAAACTCAAAATTTCTAGGCCCATGAGCTATCCAATCTACCAGTCATAGAATCTTAATCAAACAGAGATTGATACAAGAAGTAAGAAATTAACAGGAGAGTAACCCTGACGAGTTCAGACTACCATCCAAAAAGCAGGCTGGACAAATCCAGTGGTGGCAGAATCCCAAGGTCTCATGGGTCACTTCATTCCACTAGTTTTCTCCTTTATACACAGAGAAAAGTGCCCAGTTACCGTCAGTGATGTTCTGGAGCTGACTTACACTATGGAGAGAACTGACTGTGTGTAGCTCTTCTTGAGTCTCCCTTCAATGATTTCAAGTTGGTAGCTTGAAATTGGGCCATGGTGAGAGCACTTACACCATGGAATTGGCAAATGCTCCATACAGATCAGCTTCCCCCACACCCCGACCAGAGCCAGTTGTCAAACATTTACCAGCACACCACTGGTACCATGTAGTTTCATCTTATTCTGATTTCACAAGATTAGTGGCTACTGTTTCCTGAGAAAACCCCAAGGACACAGTCTTGGCTCACTGACCTGGGCTCGGTTGGTGTACAGCACCTTCATGTCCTTCAGCTTCTCCAGACCCTCACTGTAGAGCAGGATGGCCGTTTCATAATCACCTCTGACAAACGCTTCATTCCCCTTTTCTTTTAGGGCTATGAGAATAAAAGCCATACAGGTGAGCTCTCACCACACACTGGAACATTCTTTCAGACTTTATTCCCCTGATTTTCCAACTCTAAAGGTCATAGCTTCCATTGATCCAAAGGGAACGTGTCACTTGTTTCTCTCTGCAGATATTTCAGGATCGGCTATTTTTTCTCCAAATCCACCCAAGTCTTCTAAGTAGCTTCTCAGAAAAAGTAAATGTTTCTGCCTAAAGGCTCAGAGCCACTCCAAGCCACAAAGATTAAGTCTACACATTCAGCGTCTCATGGAGTGGGCCAAACAACTGACTTTCTAGCAAATAGGGAATCATTCAGATCTGCAGCACACGTACCACCAGGTAGTACAAACCAGGTGCTGAAAGCATCCTTTGTCCTATATGTCCCCCGCCACACACACAACCCTGTCCTTTTAGTTTACGTCTCCTCTCCCTTCTCACATTTTTGTTTTCCTGTTTCATTTTCTTTTTTCACTTCTTCAACTATGCCTCAGGCTAGCCAGGGGTACCTCACTCCCATCCCTGCCTACTTGTATTATTTAGTACTGCTCAATCTGATATGCTAAAGCTATCTACATGCTTGAGAAAGAGGTTTGACCATAGAGGCTGACCGAGGGCACGGCCGACTCCCTGTCTGTTGTAGCAGAAACAGAGAACAGCTCACCAATGGCTCCTACCTGGCTGGGTCCCACTGCCTCAGGCCCATCATGAACCCACCGTCGTTTTAAAAATCTCTCTTGGTAACAAACGGGAAGCTTGATATCCTCAAACATCAGCACATAGACTCCTGTGCACTTTCTAGTACAAATCAGCCCAGCTCTTGCAAAGTGAAGGCTGACAATTACCATCTGCTAAGACTTTGTTTTCCCTTCTTCTCTTGGCACGTTCCTTTGCATCCTTCTCCATCGATGCCAAGAAGGCCTCTGACAGCAGAGTAATTTCAAATATTAAAAAGAAAAATCCAAATACTATAATCAGTTCTTTAGCTCAAATTCAGAAGAAAGCTACCTTAGAGCTTTAGAGCCACACTTCTCATGCATACACATGAAGGTCGTGCACACACGGGCACACACACAGAGATTCTGAGGCAACTAAAATGACATTTTCTTAATTTGACATAAAATGGTAATCTGTGTGATGTATTATTATATATGATGGCTATGTCTGTGCTTCAAATATGAATTACGCCTTTTAAAAGAGGTTTTCTTTGAAGACAGACTTTTTTGTTCCATTTAGCATAATGAGCTTCTGAGCCGAGCAACAGAGAAACTATCTGGATCCCTTGAGCAGCTGAGAGTAAATTGGATGATACAGAATAACAGTTCAGTTTACAAAAGATTGGCCAGGAGAAAAGAGAGAAAAACCTCTGAGTGCCATCCCTTCTGACCACTAGGAACAGAACTGGGTGATGGGTAGGTTCTTGTTCATGGGGTGTTTCTAAGCCTAAAGACTATAATTGAAGCGTCTGGAAGCTACAATCAATAAACACTGATCCTAAATAAATTAATACACTTTGGAAAGCGAGTTATTGTCCTTACCTGAGTTTATTTCATCTGCACTCTGCAGAGCACAGGTCATCATAAAAACAAAGAAACAAATTTCAAAAACCGCTCTCGGATTTACACATATACAAACCAAGAATGCAGATCAATTACAATTGTGGAGGGGGGTCATTTCCTTTCACTATCAATTCTGAAGGGCTCAAAATGCAGGGGGCTTGCTTTATCAGGACATTTAATCATGGGCACAATTGTTACAGGGCTAAGTCTGCAGAAATAAAGGTGAGTAGGTCAAGGGATACCAACTGTGCTGTATGAGTGGAAAATATGAGTTAGTAGAATATATTATTTTAATAGCTTAAATGTGGCCACAAGCTCAGAAGGTGGAGAGGCCAGATTTTCATTAAAACAAACCCAAAGAGTTGTTTAAAGATGACCCAGAAGGACCAAAACAACCAAAAAATAGAATTTGTACTTCCTTGTGCAAAATAAATCTAGCGAATCTAAAATACAAAAGACTATTTCAGCCTCACCAGATATTTTGAGATTAAACTACTACTCCCTCTGCTTCAATGAGGACCTCCTCACTGTATCCACTTATACCACTCCAACACAGAAAAAGGACACCTTTGTAGGAGCTTTTGGAGGACTGATCATGGTCTTGTTCAAGGTGGTCCTGCATTCGTCCTCCTCTTGGTCTTCCCCTGTAAACAGCAGTCTCTTTTCTGTCTCAAGAACAGCTTTCTCTCGTACAGCTGGGTCATCAGAATTCATCTCCTGGATTAAATTGGCTAGAGGAGAAATTAGATGTGAATCATTCAAACAAGATCTTAAAAAGGAAGGACTGTTCACTGGGACTTTTATTTTTCCAGCTTTATTGAGATATAATTGACATATGACATTGTGTAAGTTTAAGGTGTACAATGTGATGATTTGATACATGTATATATCGCGAAATGATTCCCACAATGAGGTTAGTTAACACATCCATCTCCTCATATAATTACAATTTTGTGTGTATGTGAGAACATTTAAGATTTACTCTCTTAGCAAATTTCAAGTATGTAACACAGAATTGTTAACTATAGTCACCATGCTGTACGTTACATCCCCAGAACTTATTAACCTTATAATTGGGAGTTTGTATTCTTTGACTATCTCCCCATTTCTTAAAGAAGATTCTGAATAGAAAGCAAAAATTAGAGCAATTAGAACCAACGAGAAAAAAATTAAGAATAAGGTTTGCTTTGCCTGGAAAAGGCTGCAGAAAAATTTAACCATGGCCTTCAATGAACAGAGTTTTAAGCCATTTATTTAATTCCACAATTTATGCAGAGCTTATCATGAGTTAGATATTATGCTGAATGCTATAGACAACAACGATGAGCAAAAAGGATCCTTATATTTGAAGAACTTAGTTTTGTGCGAGAGACAAACAGGTCAATACAGGCAGCTCTGAGATCACAAAACTACAGCCCTTTAACTCTACCCTTACCTGTCTTCCCTTCCTGCCCAACCAGCTTCGATCATAAGGCCATCACTTGGCTGCCATCCCACCTACATGCTTAATTCCCTTGTCCTCACACCCCCACCTACCAGACAAAACTCCATCTCTAGATGAATCCAACTCGTCACTTCTCCAGGCCTCTGTTAGGGACGCTGAAAACTGACAGAGAAAGACAGACGGATGCCCAGGGGAAATGGTCCTAACTCAGCTGGACTGTCAATGATGCTCAGCAATCCTACTATGTTATCCTAGGCAAGTCATCCTATCATCCTCCCAAAGACTTTTACAAAATTGTCTCCAATCTAAACCTGACCATCTCAAAAAGATGACCTTGCTTATTAACGTAGGGAGGAAAGAGATGCCATCAAAAAGGAACTCCAACTATCCACCATCAAAACTAAAAATCTACATCCATCTTTACTTCCTACTACTATAAGAAAAAAATGTCTCTCTATGTGAAGTTAATCAATCACCCTATGCTCAGGACACCATCATCCCATTTTGCACAATCATAACCTTGCATTAACAATTAATTATCCCATTTTTGCAATACTTTCAACCTCTCCCATTCTACCAGTTTCTTCTCATTCTTATTTATACACTTTAAATCTCTCCAATGCCCTACCTCTCCTCACAACTAAACTTCTTAAAGGCATTTTCTGGTTCCTATTTCTTCATTTCCCACTGAGTCTTCAAGGAAATTCGCTTTCACATTTTTTAGTTGACAAATATTTCAAAACATACAGAAAATAATATCACAGACATTTTTGGTTTCCACACCATCTGTAAGGTAATATGTATCCTTCTCCAGTATGTTTAACGCTTAGTATTTGTATCATTTAGCTTTTGCTGCATTTGGAGCTTTTGCTCCAAAACTCAGTGGCTTAAAACAACTGCGATCTATTTAGTTCACAATTCTCTAGGTCAGCAATTCAGCCTGGGCTTAGCTGGCCAGTTCTTCTGGTTTCAGCTGGGCTCATACACATGTCTATGGTCAGCTGTCAGTCAGATAAGTGGCTGTGACTTCTGAAGGTTGGCTGGCTTTTGGCTGGGTAACGGGAGAACTCGGGAAAGTGTGTCTCATCTTGCAGCACGAGAGCAAGCCCTGACGCACATGCGCTTTTCAGTCTCCGCTGGTGTCATCTTTGCAAACATCCCTTCAGCCAAAGCAAGTTACACGGCCAACCCAGATAGAACGGATGGATGGAGAAACAGACTCCACTCTTGATGAGAAGCAGGGAATTTGTGACTACTTTTGCAATCTACTGGAGCATTTGTGTATGTATATGTATTTAAACATCTTAAATAAATGGTTTTATAAAATGTATTCTTTTACAACCTACTTTTTTTCTTAATATACTTTAGAGATTTGTCCTTGATAGATGTAGTTCCAACTGATTCATTTCAGTCACTGTATATCCCATAGTTAATCCATCCTCTTATTGACAAACATTCAGGTATTTTTTCATTTTTTGCTAGAGCAAATAAGAGAATATGTGTGTACATATTTCCTTGTGCAAATTCTTCAGGATGTGGCTGCCCTAATTTTTGCTTCCTCAAGCAGTATTCAAGAGTTCCCATTCCTCCACCTCCTTGTCAACACTCGCTATTATCAACCTTTAAAATTGTTGCCACTATAATGGATGGGAATGGTATCTCATTAATGTTTTGATTTGCATTTTCCTGAATATGATTGGGATTGAGCATGCTTTTATTGGATTGTAGGCCATTTGGATTTCCTCTTCTGCAAACTGCCTGCTCCTATTCTTGGCCAATTTTCTATTGGATTCTTTGTCTTTTTCTTGTCATGATTTCTTTATGTATTCTGAACTGTTGCGTGTATTTGCAAACATCTTCTCCTTGGGTATGGTTTGTTTTTTCATCTGTTTTTATGGAATGTGTTATTGAAGATATTTTCTTTTTAATTTGTTAAATATACTAATCTTTTCCTTTATGATTTATCTTGTTTGTGTATTTTATGGTTAAAAATATATTCTCTTGCATTGTTTCCTAAAAGTTATAAAGTTTCACTTTTCTCACCACAGTATTTAACACACGTGGAATGGACTTTTGTGTAGTGCACAAGCACCATTTATTGAAGAGCACTTGACTTCCCCACTGATGTGACCTGTTGTCCCTGTTAAGTGTGTGAATCTGCTCCAGGCTCTGCATTCCATTCTGCTGGATTACTCGTCTTTTCCAGCACCAAAACTCCCATGCATGTTCCTATAGCTTTATAACAAACCTTGAACATCCGGTAGGGAGAGTTGTCTCATCTTCTTATGTTTCTTCAAAATTGTCTTGATTATAATTGGTTCTTTGCTTTTCTCTGTGAATTCTGGAATAAGCTTGTTGAATTCTAAGAAAAACACTTTTGGAATTTTGATCTGATTTATACTGAATGTATAAAATAATCTGAGAACTGACATCTTTACCAAATGAGGCTTCTCATCCATGATAAAATATATGACTCCATTTATTTAGATCTTTTACATTTTTTAATGAAATTTTTTTATTAACTAAACTCCATATTTTATTCTTATTTCATTACTTTCTCCCTAATGTCCTTTTTCTTTTCTGGAATCTCATCCAGGATATCAGATTACATTTAGTCTTGTCACATTGGGCTGTGACAATTTCTCAGTTTTTGATGACCTTGACAGTCTTAAGGAGTACTGGTCAGGTATTTTTTGTAGAATGTCCTTCAACTCAGGTTTATCGGATGTTTTTCTCACAGACTGGAGTTAACAGGATTTTGGAAAGAAGACCATAGCACATTATGTCAGGGGTACATGCTGTCAACATGATCTATCGTGATGTTAACCTTGATCACCTATCTAAGGTAGAGCTTGTCAGCTTTTCCCACCTCAAAGTTACCTTTCCCCCTCCCTTTGCAGACTGTACTCTTGGGGAGTAAGTCACTAAACGTATCTCACATTTAAGGGGTGAAGAGTTATGTTCTACCTCCCAGAGGGGGTAATAGCTACATAAACTATTCAGATTTCTGTATGGGAGATTTGCCTTTTGTGTATATGTATGTATGTATTTAGTCATCATTAATATTGGTACGGACTCGTAGATATTTATTTTATACTTTGGATTATGATCCAATACTATGTTGTTTATTTTGTTGCTCAAATTCTTCCAGCATTGACCATTGGGAGCTCTTTCAACTAAATCTTATAATTTTCTCCATAAAGATTTTGTATATATTTTGTTGGATTTATTTTGGCCTGATAAATGAAGTCTAACTTGAAATTACCTCTTTTAACTGTTGCCAGTATATAGGAAGTATGTAAGAATACAGCTGAATTTTATATATTAATTTTGTATCCAACAATCTTCCTGAATTTCCTTTTTTACTTTAATAACTTATTTGTAAATTTTCTTGAATTTTTCTCTGTAGACTCTCACATTGTTCAGGGATAATGATAGTTTCATCCTCTCAAATTTTTCTAATTTTTATTCATTTTTCTTGTCTTATGTCCAGAACATCCAGTAAAACATTACATAAAGGCAATGATAGTGAGTATTTTTGTCTTGTTCCCGACTTGTAAAAGAATCCTTCTGTTTTACCACTAGTATGATGTCTTCAAAGGAGTTTCAGTCAGTATTCTGTAAGTTCCTTTCTATTCTCAGGTAGGTATGGATTTTTATCATAAGTGGGTTATGAATTCTATCAAATGTTTTATTTTTAATTTTTGTATCTGTTAAGATGATCATATGGCTTTTCTCTTTTTGCTTGAGGAAGATTGTTGCTGAGCTAACATCTGTTGCCAATCTTCCTCTATCTTTTTTTGTATGTGGGACACCACCACAGCAAGGCTTGATGAGCAGTGTGTAGGTCCATGCCTGGGATCCAAACCCATGAATCCTGGACCACCAAAGCAGAGAGTGCGAACTTAACCACTGTGCCACTGAGCCAGCTCCTGGCTTTGCTCTTTTAAAATGTTAAAATAAAATATCATATTAGTAAATTTTCTAGTGTTAAGCCATTCTTCAGACAAATCAACTTGATCATAATAAACTATGTTTTATTTCATCATTAGATTTGGTTTTCTAACGTTGTATTTAAGACTCTTTAACTATATTCATAAATAATATTGCTGTGTACTTTCTTCTAGTATACACATTTTTCCTTTTGCTGTCAAAGGTGTCTAGCTTCATATAATGATTGGAGAGTATTCTCTGTTTTCTATTCTTTGGAAAAATTAGTGTAAGATCAGAATTATCTGTTTTTTGACTATTTGGAGGGACTTGGCTGTAAAACTATATGGCTCTAGT